CAGAAGAACAAAGAATTTTATCATCTTCACAAAGTAAACTTCTGCATGAGCAAATTAGTACAAAATGGCATTCTTACCCAGTGCTGCTAAGGTTAGAAAGTTGGCATAATTTAGTCTAGAAAAGTTAACTAGTTTTGAAGAAACTTAAAATATAAATTCCTAAGTGGTAAAAATCACCATAACTCTCTCTTTTATCTATATCCATTTTTGTTTAAGATTAGTTTAGTAATTCAAGTGGAGCCAGAAGGGAGAGAAAAAGGAGCAAAGCAAAACCCAGCATGTGTGAAAATCTACAAGCATTAGATAGCTAAACAAACCTCAAGTCCCTCAGTGTTGCAGTAAGGTCAAAACCTTTCAGCATTGTAGCAGTGTGTCAAAATATGTCAACAAACCATCATACTGCAAGAAGAAGAATGACCTTTCAGTTCTTTATGTTTGGGCTGCTTTGGATACTGGGTATGCATGAACAGTTTTCCTAGCCACTTGACAAATGTAACTCCCAAGGTTTTCCACCAAGTCAAGTTGTTACAATGGCTTTCAATTCACAAGTAAAATTTTTAAACCATCTGCAATTGAAGAATACTGAACTTGTTAAGAGAACAGACATCCATAAACCCAAAACAGATCTCCTTCTTCCACTACCACCTTCAATCAGACAACAATTACTACTTCAACAGTCTTTAGAGTAACCAATTTAAACATGAACAGCAAAAAAAAGTCTATAATTCTGATGTCCTGATTCAGACTTTGCTCACATGTAATTCATCCTTACAGTCAACTGTAAATTAATTTGAACAGAACACTTTAAAAAACCCCCAGGAATACATTATCTGTGTTTGTGACTGAGATAAAATCCTTTGCATCATTTCTGTTTGCACCTATCTATCTGAAATAAATACCCTTTTTAAATCGATGGGACTCTATGACAATTTTACTATGACTAATAGTTATGAAATGAAGTCTCAAAATCAGGCATAATGTACTAATTAACACCACACTGAATTATGAATTTRGGCTTCCAAAAAGTGTGACTGCTGTTTCAAAATTACTTATTGTAAACTTGCTTTTGTTTATTCTTTCAAAAAAGCAGAAGCACAGGACTAACAACATTTAGAACACAAACAATGCTGGAAGGAATTCAGTATAGAGATGACTTACCATTCTTATTCAAAGAGAACATGAAATGCTTCTTTTTCACTATGTGAAATTGCCTTTAGTTTAATAACAGGGTCAAATATAACACTTTCCTACCATCTCCCTTACATATAGTAAAGTTTCTTTAGCTAGTAATGACGTCAAGCTTTCTTCTGGCACTCTCAAGAAATTACATTCCAGARTGTGGATATGCCTTAGCCATGCCTGCACAAGATAGAAAATGTAAATTGCTGTATTTGAGTTTGTATCTTCTTACAGCAAGTCACTGACAGTACACCCACTAATTACTGTTTGAACCATGTGTTGCTGGTCCTTAGAAAACAGTAGTCATGCCTGTCAGCTCTGACTAACAGACTTTTACAGCTAGGACTCCAATTTTTAATTTAAGTAGAAAAAAGTTATGAAGTCAGACACTATGAGGAAAAAAAAAAAGAAACAAGAACATTCATCTAAAGCCTAAAATATTTTACAACATCTTCACAGACCCCATTCTAAAGTGCGATTTGTATAACTTGCTGTTCATGCTCTCCAAATTACCTTTGCCCAGACTGTCTATTCAACAGCTTTTATCCTCATGTTTACAAGAAATGCACCAATGCAGAGCAGTGAAAAATGAAAAGTGTGGTATCTACTACAAGTGCACAAATTATAGTTTGTGCATGTGGCTTTTTTGTTTACCCAGTGGTAGTGTAAGCTATAGCCTACTCAGTGGATGCCACTGCTCTGAAGAGACAAACATGCTAAGGGAAGTATATTAATCCCTTTATACTAAGTTTGTCCAGTATATAAATAGGTGTTTCTTCTAAAACATCACTGCAAAAAATCAATCTGGGAATATGCAAGACCAAACTTGCCTTTTCCTGTTTCTTTATTGTTGAAAAATCTCAATATCTAAACAATATCTTAAATTATAATTGCAAACCCACTGACAAGGTACACTTTGTACATTTTTAATGTGAAGCTTAATTTGAAGATGAGGTTGCAGTGGCCCATTGCAACTGAAAATTGCTTAACAATACCATTGATGTATGAGCCATAAAATACCTTTCTAAGCTGTCCCTGCAGAACTCAGAGTAATAAAAAGGTGTTCTTCTGCACTGAGGTGAACAGACATGGTTGACTGCATCTAGGGAGCTGTTCTGTTAAAGGAGAAAGTGCCATTTCTATCCTGTCAGTACAGACCAATTTAAGACACTCACAGATTCAGTTAGCACAACAAAGTACAGGATTTAATGAAATACACACGTAACTGCAAAAAAAACCCAGCTAATTTCAGAGCATTCAGTCTGTTTCTGAGTAAAACTCATCTTACATCTGTGACATGAGAAAAGAACATAGAAACTTTCCCAGTCTGACTTCTAATTTTTAGGGAAGCAATAAAAAAGCTGAATGGCAAAGGTCTAAAACCTCTCACTTTCATTCATTTCAAAGTATCTAGATTTGTATTTCAACCCACATCTAAGAGGTGATATTACAGATTTTCTCTTGAATTTCCTTTCTGCTTTAAGTTCAACCAACAGATCAGGTTTACAAAACCCTAAACTATCATTTGAGTGTCATATCATCTCTATTGTGAATTCGTGTTTGTTCTCCAARTAATTTCTCTTTCAAGAGGAACAGAGACAGAAAGGTAACATAGTGAACTGACTAAGAATCTGGTTCTCACCTGAGAACTCTACACTCTGCACAGACTGATTAAATAATACAAAATTGATTCACAGTTTAGGCAGCTACACCTGTGTCCTTTCATAGTTTAAGAGACCAATGAAAGTTAACTGTCTAACCTACATGCAACCTAATCTGTCAACATGTGTTCATTAACCCAAYTGTTATTAGAAGCTACAGTAATTCAGAACTCATTTCAGAGGATGTGGCACTGTTAGCTTGGCCAAGTGGTACCAAAATTAAAATGAACAGGATTTATTCTTTAAAAAAAAATCCACAGRCATCTGCCTCATTTCCATGATTAACCTAAATTTTGGATTTAGGGTGTAACAAATCTTCCCATGGAGAGTTCCAGTTTCCTTTACATGAACGTAAACTCACTATATTGAAGAATCAACCACTTTTGTAGCTGTTTTCAACACAAACAGCTATAAAAGCAAATTTGGCAAAAACTCAAAATGACTTCCAGAACATTTTATTGATCCATGTATCATTCCAGTCTAGCTTTCACAACATTAAAGATACTTGACTAACAGCTCAGTGAGAGATTTTATTCCRTTTTTTGAAGCTGAATTATTAATTGGTACATGTTAAAATTAAAATGAAGTTAGTTACATCTTGGTTTCTTGATAAAAGCATAAGAGAAGTTTCTTTGTAAATGTCAGATGCAAATGGTGCACATTATTCTCAAATGTTTATAATAAAATGTGGATAGACAATAAAGTATGTAGCACAAAAAAAAAGACAGATACTGCAACTTTGCAATGCAAATTTTATTGCAAACTGGATCAATCCCTTCATCCTACCTGTCTATGCAACTTTCAGCCCATCTGAACTCAGCATCTTTATGCTCATGTTATCTGTTTCAAATTCACTTCTTCACTGCTTTTCTCCATACCATCATGGATCCCTTCAAATGCACCCTTTGTATTCAGAAAGTATTCCAGTCAGTACATCTAAAGGCCTTCTCCCAGCATGAGCTGCTCCATTTCCTTTACACTGATGTGCAGGTCAGCGCTGTCTGCTCCACAATCTTTCCTGCCATTCTCGCCATTTGCCTTTCTAAATTTTATACTCTATGTTTCACAATTTATTTTCTACAACCTTCCTATACTATAATATCTTCATCCAACAACTGACCGCCTTGCAAGGTTCCCATTACCTTGATTCAAGTTTTCCAAGTCTCTGCTTTCTGGGATTGTCAAGTAAGAGTAGGTTCTTTTCATATCAATCAAGAATGTTGCTGCAGAGCATAATTCCGAACTTTGATGTTGTTCTTATCAAGATCTGGTCTCCCTCTCTCTGCTGCCTTCTACTGAACCTGCTTCTAAAGCATTTCCAAAGGCAATGCTAGCTATTTTCACATTCTGCTGAAATAGTAATGGTACCAGACTAGTCTCTGATGTTGGCACACCCCCACTTTTTGTTGCATGTTCACACACTTGTGCCATGTTCTCCTGATCATGGCAGAACTATCCTTCTGATGGTCTCTTGTTGCCACTAAGAAGACTTCTAAATTTATGCTTTAAAAAATCCTTTATTAAAACTTTCATTTACCTTACTCACGATCTTGTTCAGGGTTCTACCACATACAAAAATGGCATTGAAGATGAAGCACTGTATTTCAAATTTTTTTTWAAAAAAAATCCTCCAGTGAGRAGGTATCTAGTACCATGGGAAGATTTATAAATACACACAATAACGACTTTTAGAACACCAAAGCAGAAGTATTTTAGCTATATTTTTTTTTAAAATAAATCATACCAATAGCATCAACAAGTTCTTTATACACAAAACCCATTTGGTTAAATTGTAGAAATTTTTTAACAAATTTATCACCTTGCACATATTCCAAAAGGGTACAGCAAAATCTTCTTTCATAGTCTGGTACCAAAAGAATTGACATGTAGCTTCTGTACCAAAATAATTTACTCTGTCATCTAGCATCACTGCAAAATCACCATATATATCTGCTGCATGCTAACAATTAGGATCTCGATTTTTCAGAAATATTTCTGCACACCAACTTGAAATGCTAATTAATAATATTTAAAATGCTAGATTATTAATATGTATTTTTGTTGACATGACTTAATACAAGAGTCAGTAGTGTTTTATCCAATAATGCCCCTTTAAAATCAAGTCCTATTTATCTATAAGGAAAAAKAACAGAGATTTACCTGTTCCAGTAGCTCCAAAACTGGTCCTGCAAGTAGGCTTGGTGGCTACTTTCATCGCCAAATGAAGCTTTGCTTTCAATCCAATGAATTATGTGTCCTTCTACAGCTAGGGTGACAGCAGAAAATAAAGTGAGCTCTGAAAATCACACTCAACAGCCTGTAAGATTGTGTTTGGGAACATCCTATTTACTCCATAATCTACCMCATAATTCAAGCTTGTAACAGAGTTACATATTTGTGAAAAGTATCTCTCAAATATGCAAACCCCGCATTAAAAAAACTTACCAGAAAATACTGTAACAGACAATCACATCCATTTCAGTTTAATTACAAGCTGTTCCAGATATCTGCATTAATTCTATCACAAACAGAATGTAAAGGAGATTAGASTAAGAGACAGCTTTCTTCTACTACCCTTTGCCGGAAGGCAGTTGTCAGGTAAGGAATTGGAAACTTCTGCTGAATGACAAGAACAGTTAGCTAAGCTGCTAAAGACAGACACTTGCCACCAATCCAGAACGGAATTCTGGAAAGGGAAGGAAGTTTGTCCTGGAATTGTGTCTGCTCCGTTCTTTTGCAAAACGAACAATGCTTCAAGAGAAAGAAGTCAGGAATAAGAAGGTTTATATGATTTTGAATTTCTGTTTCTTTCAATGCTTTGGTATTTGCTTTGGTTCATGTCTTTCCTCAKTTTTTTCAGGAGTTAATTACTAATATTAATGAAATCATCATTTTTTTACAAGTCCTTTCTCAACTCGACAACATAATTTTGCAGAAGAAAACATAAGCATCACTCTAAGACACCATTCTTTCTCCAAAAGGGTGTTGTCCGGTATCATTGTTAAGATCGTAAAAAACTTTTCCTTTATTTTGAGTTACCCACAATATCCACACTCATGATGCCTTGGCCTAGATTTGACTTGGAATGAGGCTTTCAAGAACATGCAAACGCASAAGAAAAATACAGAAAGATTACAAGAGGCTATGGCAGCAAGTGACTGACAACAGACTGCAAAATTACTCAGGAAATCTGGGTAAGTAACCCATGAAGTCACCACATTAAGCGCCATGTGCCATCACTACCCTGCTATCAGTAACCCAGATAACTTGTGTAGGTCTACACTACTACAGCCTTCCCCCACCCTCAACACCTTTAGACCCCAGGACATGTAAGAGCTGAGGTAAAAGCATCTCAGAAATAATTTCTAAGAAACATTTGCTTTTCCTAGGTATTTAGTGATTGTGAAGAAAAGAATCCAAGAGCTGCTACACATTAGTTCAGATCAGACAACAGATAGAAAATTATTTCCTGAAAGTCTCAGGTGATTGAAATAATTTGAAAAAAACAATGCACTATTACTATTTGAATTTTTTGAGACAAATCTATTAATGCCAATTTGWACCCTTTCTAACTGTGTTTTTCATTGTTTCTCAAGAATTAAAAACATTTGTTCCATCTAGTTGCTTTTCTAGTTTCCTTTTAATCAGGCTCTTGAATAGGTGGGACACAATCTCTTGTTTCTAATATAAAAATGGGTACCTTAATACCAAGTATGTACTGTGTCTACTGTAGTCTGTATAACTGGGCAATCTTACTAACATATACAACTTTCTGAATAGCAGGTGATAAAGACAGAGACAGGCTTTTTTTCAGCAATGTCCAATGATAGGACCAGAGGYAATKGGTACAAACCGAAACAGAAGTTTCCACCTGAACATCAGCAACCACTTTTTCACTGTGAGGGTGCTGGAGCATAGGCACATGCCTAGAAAGGTTCTATGTCAGGATCAAATCTCTCTGACTCAAACTAGAAGTTCTTAAAATTATTGGATGATTCCTGAAGAGATTTATTTGCAGTATCCTAGAATATGCTTCACTTAAGTAGCCATATTTTAGCAYGAACACTTCTACACAAAATAATAAAAATTCTTTAAAAATACTTACCTACTGGCACTTCCAAAATAAAGTCTGGTGTTTTGTCATAACCCTTTGCACGAAGCTGATCTTCAGCTGTACACAGAAAATAAGAACTACTGTTTATAAGACTATTCCATTAAGTAGACAGCAGCATAATTAATTTTATCTTAAATAAGACTGCAAGAATTACTAATGCAGTCATACATATCTTTCTTATGCATGCAATGCTGTGTCAGATTAAATGAACCTTTGTAGAAAACCTGAAGCATGGATATAAAAATGCTTCTTTGTCATCCCTGCATTTTTATGTCTTCATTATAAACATCATTAATTCAAGCTGTCATACAGTATTTTATAACCTCCAAATATTCAAAATAAAGAGGTATATTCACTGATTAAAAGAAGAGTCTCTCCACCTTCAGATGTGCTAAGATTAATCCTACCAACACCACAAATATAGATAGACTGTGGCTGCTGCCTTGGTTTTATTTTTAAAGGTAGCATAAAGTTATTTAAAAAAAGAGCAAGAAAATCCTTCTCTCCCAGAAATTTATTTAAGAGCCAGAATTTTAGTTTCTTTTGCATTCTGGATTCTGTAGAATTTATCCAATTTCCAAAYGTAAAAAGATTTAGGCATTCTGCTAACATTAAGCCTATAACTCTATTGCTTACAGATATTAGAGCTGAATATTTCAAGAAATAATAATGAGTGAGCAAAACAAAACTGCAAAAGACAAAAGATGTTCCCTTTAAAAAAAAAATGGAAAAAGAAAAAGAAAGAAAAAGAAGCCCAAGCCACCCCTTAATATTTTTAAACTATTGTCCTTGATTTCTGATACCATTACATTGATATTTCTGAAACACCATTTCTCCATTAGAATTTGGAGTGACCTGGTCATTCAATTCCAGGCATGGCTTTCTGTCTTCACCCAAGCTCAACTAATGGCACTACCTAGTAACAAGTAAGGCTGTGTAGCTCCTTAACACCTACTGGGCTGTTGACATTGTCATGCATCCCATTCGCCTTTCTACATCACCTTTGATTAAAATTAATGGTCCATTCTCACTGTTGGGTAGCTTATTTCCAATCCATTTATCAGGTTAGGACAGTAGTTTCATGGCCAATGTTCAGAACTCAGTTTTTGAATACTTYGTGCAAATCCTGAAAGGTCAGCAGTTTGAGTCCAAGTAACATTTTAATGATAAGAAAAACATACAAACTTAGAAATCAAAATATTGTAAAAGTGTCAAAACCAAACTCTCCCATTCTTTTTCAYTGAAGAATGTAAGTCTGAAGTATTTTTTCTATACAGTCAACTAATTCTGAAAGTGGGACAGAAGTAAATTTGGAAAGTTGAACATTTATGTCATGTAAACTGCAATAGGCTATTTATTCTTTTTGAGTGGTACTGTTTTCTTTTTTTTTTAATTTTGACCACATTTCTTCACTCTAAACAGACTATATTGTAAATAGAAATCTTTGCAATGTGATGCTTCATTATATCATCTGATCAGGTAATAAAAAACAGCTATAGGATCTGGAGACAAACTTGGGTTTTGGCTATTTTTTCACACTGAGATTGTCACATATACAGATAAATWATGCTAAGATAAAGAAGGTTCTTATTTAACAGAACCTATGAATAGAGTTTTATGCTATAACATAAAAATGTATTATTATTCTATGTAATCTTTTAATAGAAAAAAAGCCCCAACAGTTTTATCCAAATCCACTTAATTGTAACCTGCTCTTAATTGTTTAAAACARTATAGGAGAGACAATAGGATGTCCCAGCTGAAATTCTGTTCATTTGAGAGCAATAGCAATGGAAAGGTCAGTCTTTTCTTTCACATCTAACAAATGCTAGTATCACAAAATATGGGAAATGCACCTTAAAAAAACTCACCAAAACCCAAAACAGATGTAAACACATGTTTGAATAGGTCAACATGGCAGTTCTCTGAACTGGAATCTGCATCAGCATTACTTGTAATATTCTTCAGCAGATTACCTTTTCAAGGGTGCCTGATTACTTCTAAAAACTTGTAATACTAATGCACRGCTTGAAAAAAAAAATTTTGTTTTAAACTGGTTCTGAATGTCTTTATGTGGTTTCTTCCAGTATTTTGTACTGTGATCAACATTGGGAAACATATTAAAAACCGTGTTTATTACTGATGTGTCTATYATGTGCAGGAAAATAACTTTGCATTACTATTTTTCCAAGTGTTTTGAAGCTTTGTAACTCTGTGAAAAAGACATGGGGAAACTCCCCATAATCACTGTAAAATTTAGCCCCATCAAAAAGAAGTTCTAGCTTTTCAGCCCAGGTATGTTTTGCATTGGTCCAGAAACTACTCAGGCAGCATTCTGCATCTCAAAAGATTTTTACCTCTAGCATGGATTAAGAGAATAATTTAATAACTTCTTGAAAGCCAGCCCACAGCAGTTTTGACAGTTACATTTAGGAATCCTCAGATTTGAAAATTCTGTGGAAATAGCCCTAATAAGTGGTTTGTTTACAGATACCCCATTAATTTAGATTTCAAACAAATTTGCAGCTTCATCCTTACTATAATGTTACACTCAGTCATAACCCTTTAACACATCATTGTTCTTATAYCAGCCTTCTTCTGTTCCATGAATGAGCCACAAATTTAAGACTACAGTAGGAAACACTGATCAGATTTCATGATTTATACTGCTGGTGGGAACCAAAGGAGGATAAAGCTCTTCATATACCTAAAAGATTTCCTTATATTAATGATAAAGGCACAAAAAAAAAAATCCTATATAAAACCTAAAAATTCCTGGCATTTCAGTATGGCATCTGAAGCTGTGAGCCTGTTTTGATAGAATGCTACTACTGATCACTTTAATCTCAGGCCAAGTGATAAAGACTTGAGAGCTGTGTTTTTGCTGAAGACAAGACATGGTACATGATGCACCTGTCRTGAGCAGTGGATTAATAAAATGTAACACCCATTAGTGTGTACAGRTTTCCAATCAGTTCCAGGGTGAGTCTGAAGGTGTTACTGATCTGTAGGTTTTGAAAGCTAACTGTCCAGAAACAAATTCTGTCCTGACCCTGAAAAATTCTTACTGAACCTGCTTCATGCTCCAAGGGGAYTCCATATTTATCCACTGTGTCCTTTGATTTTACTTTCTACTCCTGAATTARACTTTCTGTTGCCCAGGTGAGCACACTTGATACAAATCCCCTGACTGTTCCTGAAGAASAGCACAGTGGAATACTACACTAATACGGGAATTGCAAAAATTCTGTTTCTTTAATATGTATTAAAAAGTAATGAAATTACAGGCCAAAAGCCATGTAAATAACAAGTCATCTTCAAAACTGGAATGAAATATTACACAACAAAGCCTGAATTTGTGCACATATGGAAAATATTGTCATCTGTTCTCCTGATGTTGTCTTCAAGCAGTTTTAGAACTAGTTTTTCAGAAAGGAAAGGTATTGCATGGGATTTAGTAGGGTTCATCTTGCAGAATCTTAAAGAAAGCTTTTTTTAAAAACAAATAACCCAAACCCCAAACACATCTACAACCTGAAATACATATGTGATCACAAACATAATAAATACAAATGCTTAACATACTTTAAAACATGACTAAACAATATTTCACTATACATAAAATGTGAAAAAACAACCCACTCTAGATGTTTTAATTTGATAGCATTAATCTCTTGGAGCTAATTTCTAAAGACAAAAGTGATGCTTATCCAAGCTCATGAAACATTAAAATTTAAGTCTGATTTGTATACTGCATATACRCAAGCCAAATATAATAATTGTTGGGTTGAGGATCCTGTAGTGATCCTAGTCATCTAGTCCATTTTCTTGTATCATAACAGGATTGACTTCATTACCACCTTTGATAGATGAGTGTCAAATCTAGCCTTGAATTTTTCACTGAAGGTGATTCCATAATCTTCCCTGGCAGTTTGTTTTATACTTACTGTTCCCAGAACTGTTTGGTATTTTAACTCAACTTCATCTTTGCAATTACAGCTTGAGCCTATTACCTGTGTCTATGGTCTTACAGTCAAACAGGAACCTTGACTCTACTTTTCCGTATTTTCATACTGACATAGGCAAGCTCACATGTGATAGTTAATCCTGCCCTTTTTTCACTTATCTTTAAAATAAAAGAGCACACTAACTCTGTTCCTTAATCATCTGACAAATCTTTTAAAAAGCTTAATAATGCATTCTAACTTGTTAAATTTGTTTAAGGTTTCCAAAATCTTAACCTGATACAGCTTCAGGAGAGATCATGGTTCCAGGTAAACCCACCAAAATTTCCCATGCACACAAATTTAGTACATTGCTCAACCATTAACAAAAGAGAGCATTTCACTTTGCTGTAGAATCATCACACAAGGAACAAAAGATTTAAGAAGTCATTGTTTACAGCCACATTAAGAGAAAGGACGCTTTAAACAGCAGTCTTTGTTTCAATGCCRTTCATGTAAAAGACACATATTGCAGGCTAAAAGAAAAAAAATGAAAGTAACTTCCCAACTAATTATTCCTTAAAATACCTTTAAAAATAAGGAGTGTAAGAAAGAGTACTTGCACTGATTGGGAAGCAGGGGACAAAAATTCAGCAGACACTGCACAGCGAGGTAAATGAGTGAATCTTCTAGCAGTTCTTTAATACATAAAGCATTCTGAAGCTAATATTTCTTATGCTGCTTCCTAAATCTCATAAGGCCTAGATTATGGCTAATATCTCATGACACCAAAAGTAATACTGCAGCAGATATTAAGGYGCTTTTTTCAGCTACTTATTCTATAAAATATTAATTGCAAGCCTGTGCATGTGCTGTATATATAGGGTATTAGGTAACTGAGTTCCTGCTTGGTTCTAAATCAATAAAAGATAACATGTACAGCATCAATCATTTTTTACTCTTCCTTTACTGGCTAATATAGGGAGCATTTGGGCTGATTTTTGTCTTAAGTAAACAGTCGCCARCATCTTTGAGGTTAGGAATTCACTGGCTAGCCTCTCTACCAAACAAGTGTGCYTCAGATTGCCCAAAAAATGCATATGAAATTATGCACCACCACAGACTCTACTACAGATTCTTACCTAGGAAAGAGAGGTTTTTTCCCAAAAGCATTTCTCGTAGCAAGACTTCATGCTCATGTCCAATAGCGCTGATAGYTTTAGGTTAAGACGTGGAAGATTACTTTGGAAAAGAAGCAACTTCATGAAAACATCATAGGTAGAGCAATTAATCACAGAATTTATTTTTCTTAATCTGCATTTCAGAAGTGATCAGTGATGGGAACTCTTCAGTTCTGAAAATCCTTACAGGGATTTTCAGAAGCATACACAACTATGCAAAATCAGACTATTGTATAAACAGCATAAATTTTACAAAATTAAGACCCATATGACCATATTTACTCAGTAAAATGAAGGGCAGTACTTCCATTTTTTCTTTATTCTCCTTCTAAGTATTAAAGGACTTGTGATCCTAAAACATGCAATTAAATACCTTTAAAGTTCCTCTTTATTGACTAGTATATCAATTCTCCAATCCAGCAAAGGATGAAACAAACTGGTTTTCTTTCTTTATATTCTGAAACTGATATGTACTACGTCCATCTGAAACATATTACTGTAAAAAAAAAATTCTTTTAATTGATTTTTTAGAAGCATGAACTAATGTCAGGGAAGGATGAAATAGTATTTTTTACTGAAGTCCTTTTCACTTCCCTGACAGCCTGTTGATCCACTGTGCTATTCCTAGCAATATGTAAAAAAGTCACCACATTAAATATTTTTAATGTATCCTCCCGGAGGTCAAAGTTCTATTCTGGAAGCTTTTAAGAATCCTATGGAACAATAYGATGAAAGATCCTATGTTTAGAATAACTTCTGAAAACTTAAACTACAGATCTCCTTACTGCTACAGTTAATTACTTAACTTATATGAACACTTTATGCTGAACAGCAAAAAAATAATTCTATGGAATCATTTCATATATATGTATAGCTTATATCAAATGAAACTATGTATTACGTTAAACTCTACTAGCAGTTTCAGAACAAAAGGGACAAATGAAGAATGGCAAAAAGGTAAGAAAAATACTGCAAACAGAATTTATAATGCACCATAAGCAGAAACACTTAGTCTACAATAATACCTGTTAGTGATGTATGGCAATGACCATGGGGCAAAACTTGTAAATAACCTCACAAGCCATTTTCTACTCATGCAATCTAGCAGCCTAGTTTCCCGTAAGCATCTGAACTATTACTGAAAAATAGCCTCTTGGCATTTACAAAGAGGTTGACTTCATACTTTAGTCCATGCATATACAATTAGATAGTTATATTTAAAATCAATATGSAATCCTTCAGAAGATATTATGCTTTTAAAACCTTAACTTTAAATTGATTTTTAACTATTTTATGCACCTCAAAATTAACATCTAATTCAGCAACATACTTACAGTAATGCACTCACATAGCTTAGTATTAAACTTTTCTGGACTAAAATGGAATTGAAAAACTCATTACTTTCATTGATGTCACTGTATGTTCAACAACTGATTTGAGACAGATTCGGAAGATGATATAAAATTCTTTCTAGACTGCAGGTAAATTTGTCTTAAAATTGTCTTTAAAATGGTTCATAATTCTACATACGTGTCTTTATTACTTTTAAACATGACACTGTCAGAAGACTACAGCCAGATTGCTCCTCCACAAAATATTAATCTTAAAATTCTGGATATGAAAATTAATGATCAGCAACCCTTTAGAATGTGTGGTTTATTAGATTAATCCACTTTCAGAGAGGTTTGTTTAATTCTGAAGATGTTCTCAATGAATATTTAAAATTACAATTAAAAGCACAAAATACAAATACAATTAGAACTCTATCCTGCTGCTGTTAAAGTTAATGGGAGCAGGGCTGAGGCTATAGTAGACACCACGCAAGCATTTCTAGTGGAAAGAACATATTTTTAAGGAATGCCAATCCACTATATCACAACTACAAGAAGTACTGTTTTTCATGCATAACTAAACATCAYTGTAGCTTTCCCATCCTGCACCTGTGGAGTGAAATCAAGACCTTCCCCCAAACTGCATGCAAAGGTTCATGCAAGGATTCTCTAGGACTTGGGAGGGAATTGCCTAACTAGCCTGCTCAGTGATAGSAGACCATGATTTTGAAATTGATCCTTAAAATCAAAAACAGAAGAACTGAACAGAAGAGCTACTCCTGCTGGACTTTATTAATATTGATTTAGGTTCTCAGTGATCATTCCTAAAAAACTCTAATCTTAGTCTGGAATACTCAGTGCCACATGGAATTTCCTCAGTGTACTCACTGTATACTGAGGCTCTCTCATTAACTATTTCAATGCTACAAAAAAAAATCCCAGAAAATTCAGGATTTATAGGGGCTTTGCTATTGCTTGTATAATCTCTATTAAGAAGAAAAGAAAAGAAGTGCGCTGGAATGTCAGATAGGAGTTAAAAAATACTAATTGGTCAAATCAGAACTGAATTACACTTGAAAATATGTCAATTAAAACTCTCTAACAAAGCAAAGCCACAGTGTTGAACACTATCTATAAAATGTATTAATTTAATGGAAGGCATCTCCAGAGATCATCTAGTCCAACTCCACCACTCAAAATATGGTCACCTAGTCTTCAGAGAAAATCAGACATGCATTTCAACCAATCAAAACCAAAGAGGTTCAATCAGGCATATGAATGTGTAACCAACAAACTGACATCTTCCCATGGTCCATCTGATTTTTGTTAGTGTAAGAGAAAGATCTGCAGTGACCCTCCAGCTGACTGAATGTAAAAGAGAGGAGTATGAAATGTGTTTTGTGAAGCAGAACTTTATGTCAGGTTAAAGCTAGACACTTCTCTTCCACACAGTCTAAGCTCGTCAATTGTGCACCTAAAATTTTATGGGAAAGGATACTGTTTGATGCAGTCCACCAGCGGTCCATAACAACAGTCATTCACAGTACACTGCAGACAAATAAGAGAAGTAGTATACTGATGGGCAACTACAAAGCCATTACAGTTAAAGAGTATCTTAAAAACAGTAATTACTTTTCCTCAAAAAGGCTATCAGATGCTGTTCAGATTTAATCACAGAAAGCAAAAACTGCATGCTTTTATTCACTATAAAAGCAAGCTATTAAAAAGTGAAATGCTCCCCTCACAAACATTGYACTGCCATTTATGGTGCACTCTGACCTCACTTATAGTTTACGATGACAGTAATTAAATGAGGTTTAAAATCTTTTACTCTGCTAGGCAGATAACAGAATTGCCATAGAAAAAAAACCCAAACCAAACCAAACAAGTTTGATTAATACCTGATAGACTTGATTTGCTAGAACTCCATCTGGAATCTGAGAGGGGTCCCGTAGCATACTATTTATAAGAGTTTTAGAGGCTAGAAAAATAAAAATAAAAAACATACAAAAAACCTGTTAGCCCAGTTATCTACTTGGCACGAGTAGAGACACACTTTTCTAATGAAAACATTTATGATATTAATAATTTTGAAAATTTCCCACCCAGTAACTACAAATTTACGAATTCATAACTACTTGCCCATTCTGATACAATTAACTCTAAAGTCTTTACACATCAAAGGATTTTATTAGAAYGAGGTGAAAGCAAGCCCTTATCTATTTAGTTTCACTAGACAGTTTGTGCTTCARAAGCACTATGCAGCTTCTAAGGAAACTGCTTAGTATATAGTAAGTGTAACTCAAAATAACCTTCATATCCTATTAGAACTTTAGGAAGAAGATAAGTAAAAATTGAAAACAGGCTTTAAAAAGCACTTTAAAGGTATCATGATTCCAATTTATTAGTTTTCAAATTCAAGCATTTACTTATCACATTGTAATTGACACATTTTTCTGACTGCATTTAAGAGCTGGGAAAAGGCTTTCTTTGCTTTTTTTAAATGTATAAACGTAAGTCAAAAGAAATCAGAAGCTAATTTAGAACTATTTATCTTTCTTTTACTCACTGATTTTAATACTACAATGAAAAAATAACATAAAACAGGAAATACCTTTAGTTTATTTTCAAATACAGTCTTTGCAATCCTTGGCATTGTTTTCTCTCCATGTGCTTAGTCTGAGTAGTAGCAAATACCACTTAATTACTAATAGTAGTGGAGAGACTTTATTCTAGAAAAATACTTTCTAAAACTACCAAATGTTTAATTTTACAATTTCTCAGAGAAAAGTCAACACTGCTGCAAAAGCTGCCTCTGTCCTGGGAACAACCTCGGATGGAAGTGTATTTATACCATTGATTCCTTAAGTGTAAATCAGGTTTGAGACTAGCAAGGTTCCCCACTTTGCCCAAGATTTCCTGTGTAACTTCAGAGTAATTCCTTTATCCTSTGTGTACTTCAGTCCTGTAAACAAAATTAAAAACTACCCTTTTCCTGCTCTTCATCTGTTTGGCCCCAACTCAGGGGCAGTTTTCTCACGGTCTTAGTAACTGAATTAGAAGACTGAGATGACACTGTGAAAAGGATTCACGGAGCCTGTGACATGAAGGAATCTGCCATAYAAGCAGCAATGCTACTGTATTAATGGATGTGCATAAATGCTTCGCTGAAAGCAAAGGAGTCTTGGCATTGTAATCTTATCCCCAAGTTATCTCTTAAAAGCATCACATTCAGGTGAATATAGTATTTGCAAGAAAAGAATTTGTTTAAAAAAACCACGAGGCAAAGAAATACAAACCCCTGAATGAGTTTAAAGGTTTTTCAAGAGCTACAARGAGCTATCACAGGTAGGAGCAAAAGTTTGTGCAAATATTTTTAAAGAGAATGACTTCCACTAAGCAAAAACGCTTCACAAGCAACATGCAACATTATATCTATGTATCTTATTAATCATGTATGAAATAAACATTACTTTTGTTAATACTAAGAATAAATATGCATTTTACTTAAGCCTTTGTACACTGTTAAAAATGCATGTTTTACTTAGCATACAAACTTTGAAAATGTGGAACAAAAGGTGGTGTGCATATTTACATTACTAACACTAAAAATTAAAACAATAACAATTTTTTAGTTGGTAGGAATAATACACAAGTAACAGACTGACAACAGAGAGACAGAAAGGTAGACTGCTGAGGAGTCTAACAGTGAATGCACTACTTTGAAGAGCTACTGATCTAGATATCATGATTGATTATGAAAAATTAGGGGTTTTTATTGACTGATAAATTCCAGAAAAACACCACAGATTTACATTTGGAAAATGTTTAACTGGACGCTATTTTGAGTAATGAGCTACAGGTGAAAAATAAATTTCCTCTATTTCCAAGACAGTCAGCTTCAGTTTCTCAATTCTGGTTACCAGATATTCTATTCTTTAACTCTATCAGAGTAATAATGAATAGACACACTGAATCTTATATAAGGTTGATGTCACATTGGTTCTACAAGTTGTTAAACCATGCCTCCAAAAGAAAAGGCATCAAACAAAACTGATTACTATACTAGCTTTGAATATATTATCTTTTT